AGACATGAGGATGTTGTGAAAAACAAAGGACCCAATGACCAAATAGCACGGAAGACTAAAAGACAAACTAACTTGATTAATTTTGTCCAATCTTAATGTTTATGCTATTTACTAGGTGAAAACGGTACATTGGCAATCACTAGTCATAAATAAGATCAACCACAATCAAAGACAAAGAACACATGTTAAGGTTAGCACAAAAAATCACAAGAAACTAGGAAGAGGACTAGAGTTCTAGAAGAGTTAGGACTCATGGGTATAAAAAAAAAAAAAAATTAAAAAAAAAAAAAAAATCTAAATCTATAATCATATGTTATATGAGTTGACACATATTAAAGGACTTGGCTAAGACTAGCTTGACACGAATTTTTTTTTTTTTTAAATAAAATAAAATAAAAATAAAAAAGGTAATTCTGAAAAGACGCCTAAACTGGACAGGCTCTAGTATATTGGTTATAAATTTTTATCTATGACTCTGATTGAGACGAAACCAACGCCAAATGAAAGATAAAACCCGGGGCTACAGATCCATAGGTGGAACGACACATAACTCTTTCTATAACTCCGGATATGACCAAAACAAGTTGACTCTTGTGCAGTATACGAGAATTAAAATCCGGGTGACTCAAAAATTAAAAAAAAAAATCTATGGCTCGACTCTAATAATAAAAAAAAGGGGTTTGATAAGAGAAAAAAAAATAATTAAAAAAAGGTCAATAAGAAAAATGCACACATAAGCATATAGTCACGCATGATGCAATGGAGTTCGCAACCTAAAGTCAAGTTCTATGTTCGACTATGGTCAAGCTTTTGGGTGTCAAAGGGTATCATGGTTATGAGTTTGGACGCGTTAGCAAGGAAGCCTCCCTTGAGGGTGTATGCCAACGGGCGGCTCCGCGAGTTCGTGATGAAATCGAACTCGACTCCATGGTTTGGGTGGATTTAAAAACTCGGATGAACCCTTATTGCCATGAGCGTTTTCGGGTTGATAGAGCATAAATCCCTCGGGATAGCCACATACGTAGAACACGTACTATTGTGACAAAATAGGTAACCTAAAAGGCATATGCATATGTGACAATGCCAATTAAATCGCAGGAATACAATTCAAGAATCTTTCAAGTCTCATCCACTCATCTCAATTAAATACCGATCACTCAAATCGATAAATAACCAGGAATCCTCCCCAGTGGAGTCGCCAAATTGTAGGCGTCGCTCGAAGTGCGCCTACGTTAAAAGCATGTGTGAATATGCTTGGCACTAATAGGAAGTGGGAATTGACATTACGATTAGGGACAAATAAAGTAGGGAGCCGCCAACAATTTTTTAAGGAACTTGTAAACCGTTCACGGATCATAAAAGGCAACCACGAATAAGGGACAACGATAGGCAACAACGATTGACCCGTGAAGGTTACACCCCATTCATAATCCATGATATTACTAACTCCATATGTTTCGGAACCACGAAAGGAGGATTGGGGATGATGGTACGAAGTGAGTCATGGAGTCACATTCGCCCGTATTGGCCTATACTCGATTCTTATAGTGAAAAGTGATTCCTGCGATCTCAAAGGCATACAAACAAATATTCAATTTTCTCCAAACTATTATTAAGCTAAATTGGTTTAATATTAATGCAACATATAATTCTAAAATATTAGTGATCACTTGATTAAACAACAAGATTAAAAAGGATCCTAAACCGGTTGTCCAAATTATCTTATTAGGCGTGATTTTCAATTACATATTCCCTTTAAACATGCAATATGGTGATCATAATAATAATAGAATAAACATAATATTGGAAGCAATTCAAAAATAATAGCGTTGGTCAAATCAAATATAAAATAACCTAATCATGATGCTAGCAATATGAAAATAAAATAAGAGTAATTAAATTAATTAACTACTCACATTCTGCGCGTTCCTTTAAATTGCTACATCATGAATAAACTGTTAGTAACTTCAATAAAAAAATAAATCAAATGAAAATTAAATTAAATAAAGATTGGATTTTATTTGGTCCAAACCCTCAGTTAATTATACCTTTCACGCCTTGGTTTAAGTATAGAACTTTGGGTATTGTATGAACTCCTTGGAGTGCTTAATTAGGGGAAGTCTTTTAAGATAATAGGGTGTCTAGTATTTAGGCTAAAAAGGGAGAAGAGAATTATTTTATGATCAAAATTGTTGATGTTTTAAAAAAGGGGAGATATGATCTCTATTTATAGAGAAAAAAGAAGGGTCAAAAAATTAAGATAAGATCCGAATTAAATTGGAATAAAACTCGATAGTCAGCAGTTTTTGCGGTTTTTGTTTTTATCATATATTTTGTTCCAGAAATTGAAATAAGATATTGTTGGAAAGTTATTGAAGTATAATTTCTAACCCAATTGGAATCAAATTAAAATATTTTGTAGAATAAAAGATATGGCCGAAATAGTGAGACGGTGTCAGTTTTGGATAAAGTTTGACATTTTATTCATATCTTTTCCGTTATAGCTTGGAATTGATATTATAATATATCATTGGAAAGATAATTTCAAGGTCTATCCAACCGTATAAAATTTGGATAAAAAATATGAGGCACGAAAATAATATCTGTCTATCTTTGAATGTCTTTCAATTCGGATAGAAATAGGACTTTACAAAAAAGGAGTTTTATTCAATTTCAAACTCTTTAATCTTATCTTTTCAAAAATGAATAATTAAGATCTTTTAGAAACTTATGGAAGCTACTAATTAATCCTAATTGGTTTAGGAATGGGATAAAATAATTTGGACCCTCCACATGATCATTGGGTCGTAGGTAAGGTGGGCTTAGGTTCGGTTTGGGCTCGGTTTAATATTTTGGCCATAACTTATTCGTTATAACTCGGATTTGGGCTTATAATATATCGTTGGAAAGCTCTTTTCAACCCCATTCAATTATTGAATCATTGGACCCAGATTATGGACAAAAATAAACTAGGATAAACGTTTTTTTGAAATGAATGATTTTAAAGGACACGAAATGAATTATTTTGGGTTTAAAGGCACGAAAAGAGGAAAACAAATTATGGTTTGGGGAAATGGGCTAGGATTTGGGTTGGTTTATGAAATGGAAATATGGATTTATGCACTCCAAGATTAAATACTCAACCTGACCAATAATGGCGGTGAAAGGTTGTTCATCATCGGGTTTGGTTTTGGGAGACATTTTTAGGTGTCTACAATAATATAATAACTATTAAGTATAATAATAATAATTAGAATAATCATAATCATGAAAATCATGTTACAGCATAATAATAATAAGATCCTAGGCATGATACTAACAAGATTAATAACAAACCCTAGCATGTCACTAAACAATAAAAATCAAAGCTTTAACCCTAACATGATACTAACAATCATAAATATTAGGAAGAACATAAAAGGCATCATAACAATCATACTTGATATTAAAGTTACCCTAGACATGATACAAGGAATATCATAATAACAACCTAAGCATGATTTCTACATCATAACATCAATAAAAACCATCAAAATACTTACTTTGATGCCTCGTATCTCTTTCTAATAACAAAATACACACGTTAGTAACTTTAAGGAAAATATAAAATAAACAATTAAATTAAATAATGGAAAGAGAGATTTGGGACCAAACCCTCAGAAATTAAAACCTTTCACGTCTAGGGCGAAGACAACTTCGAATATGGCTAGGTGTATCTAGATCTAATGAATGCGAAATTTTGTATTTGAGAAAATCTAGTTTAGAAAAGAGAGAGAGAAAGAGAAATGGTAGATTGTAGATGATTGTGGAAAAATTAGAAAGAATAAGAATTGATGATTGTTGGTTATTGTAGGTGAATGAAAACAGAGTTTTTACGACGTTATTTATAAAGAAAATCAGCCAAAAAGATAAAATATCAAAACAGAGTTCTGACGCAAATAAAACGATGTTGGCGCCAACGCTGGCTATTGGCGCCAGACGCCAACATTAGCGCCAGGCGCCAATGCTAGCGCCAGACGCCCATGCTAGTGCCAAGCGCTACAGCTGGCGTTTGGCGCTGATTTAGAAATTCACGCGTTTTCTTAAAATTAGATAAAAATTTCCGTACAGGAGGATAAAATTGTATTTCTCTCAAAAAATGTTCTTTATTTGATTCTAATTAAAACTCTGAAAAGTCAACAAAAGTCAATTTATCAATGCTAATTGAATTAGAATTGAAAATAACCTTCTAGAAGAATCTAGAAGACTAAAACCATTCCTAATTGCATTAGGAGTGATAAATCTATATTAGGCCCTCCTCTAGATCATTGGGCCGCATATAAGGCTCAAACCGGGCACAGTTCAGTAAATTGGCTATAACTTCCTCAATATTCATCGGAATTGGGCTTATAATATATCGTTGGAAAGGTCTTTTCAAACCCCATCCAACTACACTACTATTGGATCCATATCATGGACCAACCAAACTGGATTGATTGTTTTTCTTAAAATAAGTTTTCAAAAACAGAGAGAAGAGAAAAGAAATTAAAACTATTCGCAACACTAAACTTTCTAAACTTTCACTTCATTCGATTATGATTCGACGTGAAAGGTACTCATCACCGGGTTTGGTTTTGGGGAGACACAAATGGGTGTCTACACATATGCATAAAAAATATGAGCATATGCATTTTAGAAAGTGAACCTACATAAGCATAATCCAACAAAATGAGAACATTTTATGAGCATTAAGAATATTTATCATATGAACAACAAATACTAACATTTCAAAACATTTAAAATATAAACATATAATATATTTATGAATATAATACATGATGAATATTTAAAATTATATATGAACATATAAAATATTATTATGAATATAATACATTTAATTATGAACATTAAAATTTGAAGAAATAAAAAATAATATGATTATGAAACATATGCATTATAAGTATTAAATGTTCATTTTTTTTTTACGTGTTTATTTTTTATTATTAAATGTTCAGTTTTTTTACTAAATGTTCATTTTGTAGAGCATAGTGTTGATTTTGGCGGATCGCAGAAATGTTGTTTGGGTTATTAATTTGGGCCGCGCATTTTGAGCTTTCCCTTGTTGCACCTATCTTAGGTGCATAAGGATGCATCTAAGACCAATTGCCCTTTTTGGCCCTATTTCTAATTTCTATACCCTTACAAATAAAGCTAATCCTAATCATGGGTAAGGTTGGGCCTAGACCAATTAAAGGCATAAAAAAAAAAAAGAAAAAGAAAAAAAATGGAAATAAAAGTTGTTCAAGCCAACCATTTGAGGTTGTTCACAAATTATAATCGTTTTCTATTAAAAAAAAAAAAAAAATTATAATCGTTTTTAGCTCTAAAAAAAAAGTTAAGAAGCACAACAATCGCGGCGACCGCGGCTGTTGCGGCGGACTCCATCACCACCACCGCTGTAAGATTTTCATACTATCTAATTTATCTCGTCCAAAGAATTATCGAGTCCAAAAATGGCGATTTCTTCGATTTCTCGCCTTTTTACATCTGCATATAGACTAAAAAAACAACCATTTTCACTCATTACAAGAATCAATTTTTCATCAGCAAAAGAATTTTGTACCCACCTCTTAAATTGCCCCCAAAACCCTGAAAAAACCCTTGTTAATGTTAATGCTAAATTGGATGTTCAATGTGTTACTGAGGTGTTGCGTAGTTTTTCCTCAAATCAGCCCCAATTAGGTCTTCGTTTTTTCATATGGGCTGGTTTACAGCCTACGTATAGGCATACTCAATATATGTATAACTTAGCTTGTAAGTTGCTCGACATTGGTCGAAACCCGGGTAGGATTAGAGAGATTGTTGAGTGTTATGGGGTTGAAGGGTGTCAAACTAATGTGAAGTTGTTTAAAGTTATTCTTAATTTGTGTAGAGAAGCTAGGAGTGCTGATGAGGGTTTGTGGGTATTGAGAAAGGTGGGTGATTTTGGTTGTCGGCCGGATTCGACAATGTATAATGTGGTTATTGGGTTGTTTTGTGAAAGGGGGGATCTTGATAGGGCAATGGGGTTGATGAGAGAGATGGAATCATGTGATTTGTGTCCTGATATGATTACCTATATGTCAATGCTAAAGGGGTTTTGTTTTGCTGGGAGATTGGAGGATGCTTGTCAGTTGTTTAAGACTATGAAAAGTCATGGATGTGCTCCGAATTTGGTGGCATACTCTGCACTCCTTGATGGGCTTTGTAGAGCTGGTAGTTTCGAGAGAGCGTTGGAGTTGTTGGGTGAGATGGAGAAAGAAGGCGGGGAGTGTACACCAAACGTCATTACTTATACATCAATTATCCAAACTTTGTGTGAAAATGGCAAGTCAGTTGAGGCGTTGTCGATATTGGAGCGTATGGAGAGTTTTAAGTGCCAACCTAACAGGATTACTATGAGTGTGCTTATCCAAGGTCTTTGTCGCGAAGGGTATATTGACAAGGCATTTAAACTTGTTAATGATGTAGTTGTTGGAGGTCAAGTCTCGAAAGATGAGTGCTATAGTTCTCTTGTGATCTCTTTGTTGTGGATCCAAAGATTTGAGGATGCGGAGAAGCTTTTTAGGTGGATGTTAGGAAGTGCTGTGAGGCCTGATGGGTTTGCATGTACTGTCTTGATGAAGGATTTGTGTTTAAAAGGAAGATTTTTTGATGCATTTTATCTATATGAGGATGTTGTGAAGAAGGGCTTTGTACTAACAATTGATTCTGATATATACTCAACCCTACTTGTTGGTCTTTGTCAGGAAAACCGTGTGGAAGAGGTAGGAAAACTGGCCAATTATATGGTTGAGAAAGGGGTATCGATCAATGCCTCTTATATTGATAACATTCACAATCACCTTAAAGGATCAATTGAGATGGAGTCACTTGCACATTTGTGTAAGATGAGAAGATGATACTAAACTACACTATCCTTTTAACATTGTATTGGTTATTAGTATCTCCAGAGGATTTTTGCAAGTTTTAAGATCTAACTACTTCTTTAGCGCCTGAAAACATGCTGGCTGCACAATCCTGGTTCAACTTCTTTGTGAGATGTATCTATGCCAAACCAGAGTTTCGTGTTGCAAGTTGTACAGTATACATGGTAAGCATCTTATTCAATCAATCCCTCTTCACTTTTTAATGTACTATTGTTTTATTTCAGTGTAAACATTGATTTAAAGTATTAGGTTTTATTCAGGAGTGATGTGAAGAAGTGTGGGTTGATGAGAAAGAAATGAGTTAGTAACTAGAATGTTATTTGACTCCTGGTCAGATGTGAGTTTTGTAAAAATAAAATCATGAAACCAAAACACTTGCTTTTGTCCCCCAAAATTTGGCTATGAAATTGACAGTGGGATTTTGTACTTCATACTATGCCTTTTCCTTGGTGATTTTCACCGTGATTCTGGTAGTTAAATTCTCCCTTGTCTAGCATATTGATCTCTGAACTAGCTTGGAAAGTCTAGTGATGTTTTCTTTCTTAACTGCCAATGGTTGGAGTTTTCCAATTTTTTTCTTTGCACTGTTATCATGCTAGAAGTGTTCTTGCACAATTATTGACTGAATATCACTTTATGGTGACTCATGCAGGGAGCTTGTTCTGAATTGTTTTGCATCATCCCTACTATTTGCTTGTCTTACTAATAATGATTTCATGATGTTATTTTCTGTACCTTTATGGCAATGGTGCAACTATTTGCACATCCTCTTTTTGGAATTCAGAGAGTGCTTATTAGATGAACATATTAGATGAACAGGCAAAGTAGAATGTTGTGTTTGTTTCTATTTGAATGTGCTCTTTTCAACTTTGCTTATCATGGAACGGGGCACTTTTTACATTAACTTGTGAACAAAGAATTTAACTTAAATTTGTATTAATCCTGTCTTTGGTCATGATGATGTTATTATAGCTAAGCCCAAGGGCTTGCAGTTATTAACCTAGATAGACAAAGTGATGCTGAAGAGCTGAATTACATTAAAATCAAGTTGGCACGTCCAAATTTTGTATATGGTGAGATTGAAACATGTTATGTAGAGGATTGGAAGTCCTCTATTTCTGTTAGGTATGGCTACTTTTTTGTGTATATCTCATCATGTGGTTCTTGGATTGTGAAATCTTGGTAGTTGTTGATCAGGAGATCAAAGAGTAATGTCATTTTGTTCCTCCTTGATTATCTTCCTTGCCTTTCAGTTATATAGTTGTTTTTGAGCCTCAGCATTATCTGGTAACATATTTGTGCTATTTCTATATATAATTTTTTTAAAAGAAATTTTAGTATTAAGTCAAATGATAGAAATAGATTTATAGATGCATCCAGAAACTTGATACTTACTAGAAAGTTGTGTGACAAAATGAAGTTTCTTTCTTCTGGTTTCTCCTTAATCAAGACCAATCATATACAGTGACCAATCATATTAACCTAGAAGTTGAATCTTATCTCGAGGTTAGCAAAGCTGACTTCTAATGTGGAGTTCGAGAAGGCTAAGAATAAAATTATAATTAATATGTCAATTTTGCCTTTAGCAAATCAATGCTAATAGGCGAGCGAACTGACCACCCAAAGTTCTGTCAGATTGTCAGCTTGGTGATGTAGCCGTTACTAATATCAGTCATGTCACAGTAAATTGAAATGAATGACTTTCATCGTTTTGGTGCTCTCTCTTGATTCTAGACATCCAAGGGTGCCAATGGATCTTGATATTAGGCTTTCTCATTATCTTGTTGTGTGCAGGTAACAAGTGTTGTTTTAAAATCTACAAAACCACTTATTTTCAAAGGAGAACAATGTTACAAGTTTTTAGTAAGGTCTGTCTTATTCCTGTTCCCTTCTCATTGTTTCATTCTTTGTCAAGTTGTGGTATTTGCATGAACTTCTGGTGATAAATTTATTTCTTTTAGGTAAGTGGTTTGTTTCCACCTATGGGCTTCAACTTTGCTGGTGGTGCTTCCGTGGTGTTGAGACCAAAAGACTACCTTGTACATATGGGCTTTGTCGTAAGTCATTCAGCCTTCACCGTGTGAAAAATTGAATTTATTTTATATGTGAAGCTGCTGCTGTTGTGATACTAAAAAAAATTGTGCCATTTGGCGAAACAGGATGGTGCCGCACTTTGGTGTATAGGATTTTAGAAGGTTCAACATGGTCAAGGAATTTCAATATTACCAGGTTAGTCACATCATGTTACTATTTTTCATATAGATCCACTGGAATGTAGACTTGAAAGTGTATACCAAATTGCCCATTCATTTTCTCTTGCTTTAGTTTCGTCTTTTTTTGTTTTTTGTTTTTGTTTTTTTTTATTATTATTATTTTTTTTAACGTGTGGCTTGTCCCACTGTTTCACTCTTCTTCCCTGCTTCTTCCTCTGATCTCATCTCTTCTCTCTCCTCAGCTATCTCCAATTCTCTATGCTTAAATAAGGGTTCATCTTATTTATATTTAAATTTTATTGATTAAAATCATCAGTTTCATGTATTTTTGTTAAATTTTGACGGGAATAGAAATGGTTTGTTGTAATTTTGCTGAAAATTTGCAGAAAGAAATGCTGGAAAATCGCGGATCTCATCTCATATCTCTCCTCCATTGAAGCGACTTTCGAGCATTCTGTAATCCTCCATTGAAGCAGCTTGCTAGGTAATTATTTTATATCATCAATTTCCATTTCAAAATCTAGGGTTTATTAGTAAGAAATTGAATGGTTTGATTTATGGTTGATATTATTTGTATAATTATTCTGTCTAAAATCAGTTGTATTGTACTATTAACGTGATTATTATTTTGAATGAATGGGGTTATGTATACTTTAGTGCTTTGATTTTTTTATTTTATTTTTTTTTTAATATTTTTTTTTTGCTGAACAACAGGGGCAAATCCCCTGTTCTTCGAATATTATTAGTGTTTACTTATACTGTGATTTTGTTATGAAAGTAAGTTCTTGCATTGGTTCTGTCATTTGGAAATAAATAAGGGGTGTTGAATTTATTGAAATTTGAAGTGAGTATGAATGTGGTGCAGGCATGTGAACAATCAATTGGAGGATGAGGATCTTACAAAGGATATGCAATTAATTGGATTGTGCTCCTTGACTTTGGAGTTCACCTCCTTTTTATCTTCCTTATTTCTCCTTATGAAATTATCAGGCCCCTTCTATTGATATCCCTTTACTTATCTTCCTAGAAGCCTATTGAACTGAAGTTGACGAGATAATTTGGGACTACAATAGGCTGCACAATTCTTAGATTGATTGCTTCTTATATTCAGATTTGTTTTACAATTTAGTGGTTAAGATATTGGTTCCAATGTTCTGAATAATTAGTCCCGTATTGGTTCTCTGCCTGATCTGTGATGATAATATAGTAGTTTTACGGTTTCTTTTGCTTTCCTGATTGAGGTATTTGGTGATTTATTTAGGAAGAATCTGTGTAAGATTCATTTAGGTTTACTGGATGTAGGATCGATGGTTTTGGGGAAGAATTTGAGGTACATTTGCGGCAAAAAATGATTTAGTGTGTTATTTAAGGAGAATGGGAGTGTTTTGCAGCGTGATTTTTTTCTGTCCATTATTGTCCTTGATTTATTAATTGTTGGTTTTTGTCCTATTAGCTTCAATCTTTTTTAGATACTCTTATTATCATAACCTTTTTTTTTTCTAATGTTTCTTTAAAAATAAAATTAAATTAATGACTGGTTAAATATTATGTCAGGCCGGTAATTCTGCACATCAATGTATTTTTATGTGTTTTTGTTGATTTGATAAGATTTATATGAAAAAATTAGGTGTTATTGAAACTTAAGTTGGACCTCTCTTACTCTCTCTACATATATGCACCCTTACAAATATCTTGGAGGGAGGGGTGGTTTTTGGTTTAAACAGAGAAAGGGTTTGTGACCAGTACACTCACTACATGAATCTGTGTTGGATCACGCGCTGATTTTAATATTGTGTTCTATAGAAACTATGTTATCCAGTACGTCAGCTAAAACTTCCATTTGCAGCAGTACAGTTTGTCTCTCAGTTTGAAGGGATCTATGATGTGCAGTCCATGCAGAAATCAGCAGTGAAACTTCAAACATTTTTCAACCAATGTATGATAGTCACCAATTCAAGGTCTGCTGCTTATAAAATCAAAGCGTTTATGAGGATAGTCACCAAGGTCTGCTTCTTATAAATGCTTCTTTACTATTTGTTTTCATGACATGTTATAGTGATTTAATGAAGTAAAATAATTATCATGCTTGGTAGGTGAATGGAAATATCAGGTTTTTAGAACCAAAATAGTAATATGTGGTTATACGTTGATAAGATTATCAATGAATTTTAGATGGTGAAATGTGAAGTATTATATTTAATTGAGAATTTGCAATAAAAAAAAATTATGAAATAGAGATGAGAAGGGGTGATAATTATTATTTGTTTTAGTTTGCTAACTTTTTTGTCCTTGAAAATATTCTTTACAATTCTTTATTTTCCTTCACTGAAATGATGAAAATGCAGCATTCTCATTGACTTGAGTGTGGGCGTGCTGGGCTAGGGATTGCCCTTCGAGTGGTAGCTTTGGTCTTCAGACACCCTAATGATGCTCTGGGAGAAGCAGACGGAGTTGGTATCACTGTTGGTTTTGCTCCTCTAATGTTGTGCATACTGTTGTTTAGCTGAACTACTCAGTTTACAGCATTGTTTTCTAAGTAGCTGCAGAAATGTTGGATATCATCTTCTTGGCTTAGCTTGAATCTGTTTTGTTCATATTCTACCGAGATAAGAGCCCAGATAAAAGTTAGTATGGAAATCTGTAGAGAAACCTTATTATTTGACATGTAGGAGTATTTACTGGGAGGAAATTACTTGAATATAGACTATCACTTGTATGTTTTAGTAGAATGTAAGAATGGACAAGTTACGCATAGATCAATTTGATTTTTTTTGACAGGCATTGATGCATCGGTTTTTTTTTGGAGGAAGCACATAGCTTAGGATTATCGGGTTGTTCCCCCCCTTCCCCTTTTCTGTTTAAGCAATTAAAATGATCTTGTAATCGCAATGATTTTAAAGTCAAGCATATCAATAATACCCAAAAAATTATCTTCTTTAATCAACCAATTTTTAAAAGCGCCCCCCTCCCCCCCCCCCCCCCCCCCCCCCCCCCCACCCAAAAAAAAAAAGTCATTTAGTTTTCCCAGATTTCATTTCCATAATATAAAAATGCATTTACACTGTTTGAAACAATAATAAATAAATAAATAAACCATTTACACAAACAAAATATTTGACAAATGTATTTATCTTAACAAAAAAGTGTACTACAAAATATTGACTTTTATAAAGAAAACTTAAGTTTCACACCTAATAGTAATGTAACTTCATATAATATAATATGCCCAAAGACTAAACAATTCTTTAGTAATACACCATCAAAATTAGGTTGTATCATCTTGTATGTACAATGTACTCATTGATGTGCCTTATAAACAATTACAAGTTCAATTGGTTTTATTTTAGCTTAACTAATCTAAACTATAATCAACAATTGAATTTGTTTTGTCCAAACTTATTTAATTTGAACTCTATTGATTTGAAATAAAACTTTGTAATGTACTTCTTTAAAATTGAGTATTTATAAAATGCGAAATTATGTTAACCAATTTTAATCAATATGAACTTTCAAAAACTGAAATAAAGTCAAAATGAGTTTAGCTAAATTGAGTAAGATCAAATGGCCTTTATTATCGCAATAAAATTTTGAAAACCAAAATAAATAAAAAATATCTATTAGTTGCAACTATTTAGTTGGAGTCCCAAAAATGATGGGCCACCATTGTATTGTTATGGATAGTAATGTAATTTTAAAATTATGTAGGATGTTTGTTGTTAGATTGATAGCATATGGAAAATATATGCGTAATGATGAAAATCGATAATAAGAGTATTAATAATAATTAGCCTTCTGGCCCGTTTCATGCACGAGTTATTACTTAGAATATTTTCCATGTAATGTGTTGCTTATTTGTGTTATATGAGTCAGCATTGTTTTATTGTACTTTATATATATGTTTATATAATGTGGACTAATTAGCTCAATTTTTTTTTTTTGCTATTACTTTATTTAGTTTAGGAGATGAAAAGACTACAACTTTATTTTGGTGTAGTTGAAACACTTTATTTCCTTACTTAAATTTGCAAGTTGTAGAATGTATAAAGACATGAACTTTATTTTTTGATAAAGAAGGAGACGTATGGCATGTGGCATATGAGTGATTTGTGGTGACGTGTGGCATATGAGTAATGTGTGGTTTGTGTTTTTAAATACTAAGTATAGATATAGAAGTATAGATTAGAACAATTAAAACTAATAGTAACAGTAATAAAAGACCAATGAGCAAACCTTTGTAAGCCCATCATATGGAGAGGCCACATTCTAAAGCCCATATAATTTGATTGACATAGCCTGCACTAAACACCAATGTTAAATCCTTGGACCTATGGCTTATAATCCTTTGTATGCAACATAGTACTATTAGGGGTCGTTTGGTTGGGGGTATTCATCAAAGGGAATGAAAATCAATTATCCTCATTCCCTTTGTTGCTGTTTGTTAGACTTTTTTTTCCATTCCCTTTACCCTCTGCATTCCCCCAAATCCTTCCAAATTGATTCCCCACCCCCCTCCCTAAGTATTTCCATTCTCATTCCCTAGCCACCCCAACAACACCATACCACCATACCACTTCCTACTGAAACCACCGGAAAACTAGCCTCATCACCGTCGGTCGTCCCCCCGCACTTCGACGCACCACCCTTGCCCCTCGCCGCGATCTCACTGCTAATAGCTGTAAGGAGGGTGTTTCCATCGTAGGGGATCCTTCTCCTTAGATGCCCAAGACCCTTTAAAGCCTAGGACTTTACACTTGTTAAGGTGTATTAGGATTTGATTTCCTGACTGTTTGGGAGACCTTTGAATTAGAGATGATTCTATCATATACGCTTTTTTGTGAGAAACAAGTAGGAGTCGCCAATGAGTTTTAGGAAAAACCCATAAACCTCGTTCATGCCTTTCTCCCAAGTAGAGTTCAAGGGATATTTAGCATGAATCCTAAGTTTACCCATGCCCAAATTGGTCTAGAAAACCAGAAATGAGTTCGGGAGCGAGGGTACTAAGATAATGTTCCCTTTAGAGGGGAATCGCGATCCTAGCCCTAGTGCGGCCTCTAGTAGCTCTTCCTTTGCACAATTTCATTGCCAAACAATATATGCAACGTGATACCTTAAAACTATGTTAATTGGTTTTATTTACACACATTAATTCACATAGGAATTGCATCGTAAGGTCGTTATTCTTATTTAATCAAATTCGTGAAAAGAACAATAAAATAAACAATATTCGCCTTGACTTAGGTGATCAACCAATAATTATTTGATTCAATTCTAATCTTGATTAACGAAAGAATACTATGTGAAATCAATTAATTTATTATTTTAAGGCGATCAAACAACACTAATTAATTAATTAAAGTTCTTTTAAACAATAAAAATAATGGTGATTTAACTAAGTGCTCGGGAATTTACCACTTCTCTTTGCTAGATCTCCATTTAGAACACTTGTGGACTCCTTCTTGTTGGGGAACCTCCACCGTAGTAACAAAATATCGAAAAGGGTGAGTGTTTAGGACAAGAGGGTTTGGATGCTCAAGTTCACAAGTATTCTGCCAGAGTTTACGTTAATTTCCTGTCTCTTGAAGCCTCGGATTAGGGTCTTATTTATAAGGAATGATTAGGTTTAGGGTTTAGAGCATTCTGCCGCAGCAAGTGTTGCGCGCAACTGAGTAGGTTGCGCGTCGCGCGCAAGTGAATAGGTCGCGCGCGGTATACGCGCGCAACTATTTGTCTTGCGCTTAGTTCTATGGTAAGATTCGATTTTCCAATATTTTAATATTCTGAATCTTACGCGAGCGCATCTCTGAAAGTTGCGCGACTGCTGAGCGCGACTTTGTGAGATGCGCGCAATATTTTTCGCGTCAGCTTTTATTTTAACCAAGATTTTCCTAAATCCGTCATTATTGGGTTTTAAGCACGGGCTTAAGCCTAATTATGATCGGGTTTAGTTAATTTGGACCTTGTGTTGGCCTTGCTCGTTTATCTGGGCTAGTCTTTTGTGTTTTGTGGCTTAACTAGTTATCCAGGCCATAAGCATTCTTTACTTTGATCCAACACGAAGATGGTTTTATTTATCGTCATTGCACTTCCTGTCGGGACAGGAGGCTTAAAGTAGATGTCTATAGTTAGCCCCCACTTTGATCGAGTCTAGAATAGACGATGATCAAAGTAGTCAAGGAAAAATCCGAGACTCATTCTGCGAAGTTCTCCAAGGTTAGAGAATCTTTCAGTAAGGTTTAAGGATGTCGAAACAGTCCTTGGTTCGCTAAGTGTTTGAAACAAATAGCTATTAAGGCTAGAAAAAGTTTCCCCTAGTCTTAATGCGCTAAAGAATCTAGATTGATCCTTTGCAATTGTAGAACGCTTTTACAAGTAAAGGTGTTCTGGGTGATGTCAAGTCATGAGAAGAGATCGGTTTTAAAAGAATAAAAGAGGATGATTTCCTCCCAATCATGTCATCGTTGGTCTAAAGTCCCTCGATATGTCATTGAAACTTTAGCCTAACTTTAACAAAGTAAAAAGAATGAAAAGGGGTTTTCGATATGCGAATCGAAAAGGGGTCCGGTATTCGAGCCGGATGTCCACAAGATAGAAACACATGTCTCAGGACTGGAGGCATATATCCAAATCCAGTGAGAGAGAAGAAAGTCAACAACTCTCTCAGCAGTTTTTTCCACAAGATGAGTACACGTGTCTCAGGAATGGGGCACGTGACTACATGGGTGCGACATCGTTCCGTCGCTCTTTATACAGGGGGTGGACGAACACCCTAACTGTCTGATAAGTTAGTAAGCTCACTAACTACCGTATTTTCTTCCCTTTACGAAGTTCCTGTTCCTGAAGGTTTGGCGCGCCTGTCGACTCGTGAGCTAATGCCTAAAGTAAATAGTCTACCTTTTAGTTCCGAGAGGTAGATCTCGCAAAGCTTGGGTTGTGGTGAAATTTTACGCAACACCTACGCCGTACAGTTTTACGTTGTACGCTACGCCATTTGCATTTTTACGCTGCATGAAAACGCCTTCCTTTTGCTTTGTACGTGAAAAAGAAGAAAACCCGGACACTTATATCGTCAGTACAGTAAAATGACAAACCTGGGTGCTTTTACGTAAAGCACCACCACGGAACGTCTTAAGGCATGCTTACGAAAAACGTTCAAAACGTATGCTTGGGGAAGGCACAAAGCACGGTGTGCATGCAAAGATGATGTAAAAATCTATCAAAGAAGAAAATAAACTACAAATTCAAAGCAATTTAAAAAGGATTTTGATAATTCGCGCGCTATTACGTCTAATAACGAGCGAAAACCGTTGAAAAATGATCAAACGTATCAAAATCCGGATACCGGTCATTTTAGTGACCAGTTTCCGCGCGCAACTCAGTATGTCGCGCTGGTCAAGCGCGTGCATCTTTCTGAGTTGCACTCGTGTGTAACGCGCAACTTCTGAAGTTGCGCGCGACATTCAGTTCAGCAAAAAGAAAATCGCAGAAGCGATTTTTTATTTCGCTTTCTCTCTCTTTCCTTCCTCCATTTTCGCCCCTTTCTCTCACTATAGAGCTCGGATTTTCGTGATTTTCGAAGCTAAAGGAAGAAAATTTCGTTCTTAATTCATTTTTGACATAATCCAATGTAAGTCTTTTGCCATTTTTTGCTCTTTTTTTGGCTGAATTCGAACGATTTTCGAATCGTTAAACCCCAATTTTCGAATTTGGGGTTTTTCAATTTCGTCCATTATTCTTGAAATTGTTTGTTCCATGTTGTCATGCTATGCTTAAGGAGT